GAAGTCCGGACAATCTTAAGTCCGTAACATTAAAGGTCCGGATTATCGGATGTCCGGATAATCAAAGGTCCGTATTATCAGAAGACCGGACTATCGAAAGTCTGGATAATCGGAAGTCCGGATTATCGGAAGCCCTGGGGACCCAAATCCGAACGGATATGATTCCGTACACGCCTCGTTCCACAATTTCGTGTCCCGAGGTACGACGATCGAGGTACGAGGCCATCATGCTACCAGTTACGCCCATATGAATTCTGCTTTTTTTCGGCTTCATTTTCGACTTGTTAGTTTGTTACATCTAAATAACACAACATTAGCCGTACTGCTGAATTCCGTTTTTTGGCTGGAGGTATGATTCGAACTCGGTACCCTTTTGGCACGAAGCCATCACTCTACCAATTACGCCAACACAGGCCACATAGATTACACTTTTTTTCGGCCTCATGACTTGTTAGTTTGTCATATCTAAATAACTTATAAGTAACCTTCGTGTTACTTAACAATAACTAAGTAACACAACATTAGCCGTACTGCTGAATTCCGTTTTTTGGCTGGAGGTATGATTCGAACTCGGTACCCTTTTGGTACGAAGCCATCACTCTACCGATTACGCCAACACAGGCCACATAGATTACACTTTTTTTCGGTCTCATGACTTGTTAGTTTGTTATATCTAAATAAATTATAAGTAACCTTTGTGTTACTTAACAATAATTAAGTAACACAACATTAGCCGTACTGCTGAATTCCGTTTTTTGGCTGGAGGTATGATTCGAACTCGGTACCCTTTTGGTACGAAGCCATCACTCTACCGATTACGCCAACACAGGCGACATAGACCACACTTTTTTTCGGTCTCATGACTTGTTAGTTTGTTATATCTAAATAACTTATAAGTAACCTTTGTGTTACTTAACAATAATTAAGTAACACAACATTAGCCGTACTGCCGAAATTTTTTTTGGCTGGAGGTATGATTCGAACTCGGTAACCTTTTGGTACGAAGCCATCACTCTACCAATTACGCCAACTCAGGCCACATAGATTCTGCTTTTTTTCTGCCCCATGATTTGTTAGTTTGTAATATCTAAATATTAACTTTGTGTTATTCAACAATAAATAAATACCACACAACGTTAGTCGTACTGCTGAACTCCGTGTTTGGGCTATAGGGAAGATTCGAACTCGGCACCCTTTTGGCACGGAGCCATCACTCTACCAATTACTCCAACGCAGGCCACATAGATTCTGCTTTTTTTCGGACCCATGACTTGTTAGTTTGTGATATCTAAATATTAACTTCGTGTTATTTAACAATAGAAAAATACCACAACCTTAGTCGTACTGCTGAATTCCGTTTTTTGGCTGGAGGTATGAATCGACGCCAACGCAGGCCACACCAACCCAACTTTTTTTTGGCCATATGACCAAAGTTATCTTCAGTACGGGAATTTTCAGTAATTTGTCTTAAGGCACAATGCCATGCATCGCTAGAGTGCACAAATTCGTCATTTTAATAGGGCTCGAGAACTGAAGAACATATTTTTTTTAAACTTGCAGCATGTTTACGGATCTTTATATTAGTCAAATTGCCAAATTTGATAACTTATTAACCAATTCGATAATTTACGCTTGGAGAGGGAGGCAAGGCAAAATAATAAATTTTAATGATAATAATTTGGTTTATTTCAACCCAAATTTTGCATTGCAATCGTATTATGTTTTTTTAATTATATTTTTTGAAATAAAAAATGTTGTTAATTATATTGTATAGAATTTTTTCTCACTATCCAAATTTTGCCGCCCCCAAAAATTTGCCGCTCTGGGCAGTAGCCTCAATTGCCCCTACTGTAAATTAAGCACTGGGTGTGGAGCACCTTTAATGTGCGGTGCAGTTAATGGTGCGCTCCATTGCACGAATACCGACGGCGAATTCTGTTCGCAATGTCTGCGCACTTTGCGAACAGATTCACCGTACGGATTCGTGCAATGGAGACGAGCTAAGAGGACACCTTTACATCTTGCTTATGAATAAAATAAATAAATTTATAAAAGTGTAAAATTAATTTTAAGGTTATAATCACATAATGTTAAAACATAATGTTAATAGAATATAAAGTGGTATATTATACTAACTCAATATAATACAATCATAAATATATTTATATATTCACAATACGATAATAAAAAAAATCAAAAATAGATTCAAAATTTCGTATATTTATATATACTTCCACCAAATACATTTGTACATATAGTTTTTCTTTTAATGATTAATATAATCAGTATCAAATATGTTAGCTGTGAACAAATTACATGTGCGACATGTGTTTCAAAAATTTAATTGAATTAAATGGATCGATAAAAATTTTTGTAATGTCTAAATTTGTATTAGACACTTTTAATATCATTGATCCCAATATCATAACAAATAAAATGTAAGAGGAAATATGAATAATTTTAATACAGTAACTGTTCAAATTTTTCAAAATTAAGTACTATCCATGTTTATATAAAAATAACGAAATTTATATTTTAGATCATTGGTTTTAAATATCATTGATACCAGATCAATATTTTTATACATCATGTTAAATAAATAAAATCAATAAAAAAACATTCTCTACCAATTCTATTGTTTTCATGATCAAGATTTCAGACTGTGGCAGTAGATATAACAAAAATGCGACCCTAAATACAATTTGAACCAAATTTTAACCAAAAATGTAAAAAAAAGATTAATAAAGGCATATTCATAAAAGCATACTGTAAAAAAACATGCATATTTCTTCTTATTAAAACAAGAATTCAGAACAAGGAAAACATAGTTAATAAACAATAGAAACATAGTTAATATAAAATAAATTTCTTCCTAATGAATTAATTATAACTAATAAATTCAAGATTGCATAAAAACTCAGGTATAAAATACATACCAAAAATTCAAAATACTAATTTTCATAAAAATATAATAAAAATGAACTGAATTTATTTCTGTTCATAATTACTTCTTATTCAGATTACAATTAGTTATGAAACAATAGAAAATATATATTTTCATATTGTCTTTATGAAAATAAATTATATTAATTATATTTGGGATTCAAATATTAATTTCAAAAATAGATCAGGATATATTCAAAGCTATGAAAAATCCTTTGAAAATCCATTATGTATATATATATATATATATATTTAATGCTAATAACATTGTTAATATACTGTTTAAAAAATGCATTTTGAAACAAATGCGTTTCACATATAAATATAAATATATATAGGTATATATTTAATCATTAAACTATGCTCATGACTAGCAATGGACTTGCAATATATCATACGGGCAAACACTGTCCAATAAAAAAAAATAGTTGTAAAATACTTAGTCCCCAAAGATTATGTAAAAATGTTCAAGCAGAATCTTGAAAAAATAATCTAGTTAATAAGTTTCCATATGTGATATATAGTACTGCAAAAATAACTCCATATACTAGTCAAGACATTCATCTACAATTTATCAATAACATATTCTAACAATATAATTTCTATCAATAAACAACATTGATAAAATTATATATAAATTGATATAATTGCTATAATATATATATTTATGTTTAAATAGTATTTCATTTTACATACACAGCATGATTGTATATATTTTAGTTAAAGGGTCATCCATTCTGAATCAAATATACAGTATGAGCAATCACAAAAACTCTGTTGGACAGAACAAAGCAAAATCATAAAAAATAAATTTATTTGAAAAATATATGTTGATGAAAACATGATTAATAATCTCAGGAATTCTAACCTATTTGGTTTTGAAAATAATGCAATAATCACTTGTTTTACAACAACCGTTTAAATTACATAATTAAAAATTTTGTTACATTTTTAGGTAAAATTGATTTAGAAATAAATGCCCCCTTAAATAACTCTGATCACAAATTAGTAGACATCATATTATGAGTCTCTCAACTAAACTAGTTTATGAACATTAATTACTCGTTCATAAAAAACAAATATAATTTGTCGTGGTACAATAAATTAATAAATTTATTTCAAATTAAAATTACAATTGGAAATAATATGATAAAAAGATGATTCAAAAACAAAAATCCATTTAATTAAAATTGACTCTGATGCAATGTCTCAATTACAAGAAAAAATATAATACTGTAAAAACTGACAAAATACAGAAATTTACTGTTTATCACTTCATTAAAATTTTTTATAAAGATCCATAGTCAAAAAATAAACTTACATTTTATAAATCAATATTAAATGATAAAAAAAATTCAATAAAGGATTGTTTTGCATCAATATATTCCTACATAGCTTAAATTAAAATGACTTCTAAAATCGAAAACTTCGACAATGTTGAATTGTTGGCATTGAAATGTTTGCTTAATGCCAACTATCCAATTTATTAGCATTTTTGAATAGAAGAATATTATTCTACTTACATATAATATATATATTTTTAATTTGCGAATCATACCCAAAAATAGATACTTTAGTACATATTTTATTTATTAATAAAAATATTATATTCTATCAAAACAGAAATAGACGGATATTTTTCTATGTTACATATATATATATAACATAGTATGCATATATATATATATATATATATATAAATGCATTAAATATTTATATCTGAAATATAATAATATTTAGCCATAAAAAGCTAGACATCATTACGGTTGTGTATTTTTGAATTTAGATATCAATTATAAAAAAAAAACATAAAATTAAAAATATAATAAACTGTAAACAAAAGATACTGCGACTAATGATACTTTCCATTTTCACAGAAGTCAAAATAAAATATATAAGATATAGATATAGATATAATAAAACATTAAATTAATAGTATTATGAATATTAATATTGTCCAAATCATAGAAAATATTTTGTTTTATAAAAAATGTCAGTCGCTGGGAATTTGTGTAAAAATTGATAAACGAACTTAATCATAACTTCTAATTACCTGC